CCTCCTGACCCTGCCGGCAGCCCCCGCGCTCCGCCTGGCCCGAGGCGGCTCCGCGCCCCTCGGCCCCGCCCGTCCCGGCCGAGGCCCGGGGGAGGGCGGCCGGCAGCGCGCCCGGGCTAACCCGTGCGGCTGTTCCAGCCAAGGGGCGGGCCGGCGGCCTCCGCGGGAGGAGAGTTCGCGGCGGGGCAGGAGTCTGTCCGCCGCCGGGAAAGGCGCAGCGCTAGCGTTCCGCATCCCTGAGCCGTGCGGAATGAGCGCGATGCTGCGGGCTGCCTTGCGGCGGCTGCGGCTCCCGCGCCGTGGCGGCTGTCCCGGCCCCTCCGCTGCCTTGCGGGCCCTCGGCGGCGCCGCGGGCGCCCGGGGCGGGTGAGTGCGGGCCATGTGTCGGGGGGCTGCGAGGGATTGCGGGAGCGGGGCTGGCTGGCTGTGGTGATGCGCGGGAGGTGTGGGAGGCGTCGGCCCCGATTACGGCCGTCCCACCGGGGTGACTTTACCTGCGAAGGTGCGGGAGCCGCACCAGAAAGGCGAACCCACGTGGCGGCGCTGCGCGGGGCCGTGGGGGCCCCTCCGTGGGGCGGGATGTGCGCCTGGGGAACCTCGCCTGTCGGAGAGCAGACCTGCCCGTGGGGTTGTCGGTGTGCCGAGCCCCCCGGTGTGTTCTGGGTGAGGTGGGCACACACACAGTGACATTTTGTCGCATCAGGTGGAGTTTACAGGGGACGGACTCAGTGGATTCTGACCCTGCTTGAAAAATATGGAGGGCCAAAGTATGAAGCCTTAAATTCAAACTGCAAAAGAAGTTCAACGCTGATTAATGTGTACCTCACTACAGTATTCAGTATAGGAGCTGTTGCTCTTTACATCAGGCCATTAAACAGTTTAGTGATAACTTGGAAGAAGATTAATCTGTAACCTCAAAAAAGATCGTGTGTAAGTGTGTGTAGCTCAAACACAGTGAACTCATGGTGTCCGCTGCTTCCCTCTGCTTTGTTTCGCTGCCACGATTTGTTTCGCATGCCTGTTTATCCCCAAATTTATATCTACGATATGATTTTGTAAGACTGTTCATAAAGCACATAACTAGCAGCTTGGATTTCTGAGTGCAGGTGGGTGAAAGTTCAGTTAATGCATTAGATAGCCTTGTGTCAGAGAAGTTGGCAAAAGTAACAAGCAAAAAGCTGTTTAAACGTGTGGAGATAAAATTAAATGAGTATTGATTAGCTATCCTTGAGCAACAGATGCTGTGGTTTCACAGCTATCTGGAACATCTCCTGCACAAAGAGGTGTGACCTTGTCTCACTCATACAAAAAATGGCTGGTTTTAATTTGGATAAATTTCCTGATCTGCTTGCTGCTTCAAAGTCTGTGGAAGAGAGAGCAGAGGGGAGGATCGCACAAGGTAGAGAAGGATGGACTACCTTTGATCTCAGTTCTAGTTTTTGCTGGCTTAAAGTGACTGAAACTGTGGTGCAGCTTAGTGGCTGTATGCAAACAATTGATAAAAAGCACTATTTTTGTAATGCTCTAACTTCAGTAGAGTAAAACATGTCAAAACAGATAGAGCATGGAAATAAAAACTGAGTTTCATGGTTCTTGAACACTGATGTAGCCTGCTGACACATTAAAGAGCTTTCCTAAGTAGGCACTTTCACAGAATCATGAAACCCCCCACACATGGGGGGGTGGAAGGGACTTCTGAAGATCATATAGTCCAACCTCCTGCTAATGCAGGTTCATAGAATCACCAAGATTGGAAAAGACCTCCAAGATCATCCAGTTCAGCTCTTCACCTATCAGC